CCTCTTTGCTTCCCTATGCCTGAAACAATTCACGTCCACGTTTTGATACATTATTAAGGAAAATTGCTTTTATAGTTGTCACTTTTTGATCGTTCATACGAACGATGATTCGTGAAAATAGCCCGTAAGACGATTTATCTATTAAGGATTTATATAAGTTACGTGCAAGTGACGGCGTGTAAGCATGCGTCCTTTTAAAAATTAAGATTACTTAAGGCCTACCGCTTAGATCCGTTATTAAGTTACTTATAATATTAAATTTTATCACGGGACAATTTTTAGATTTATAACACGCTATATCTACGCTATATTCTTTTCTTTTTTTTTTCTTCCATATTTTTTTTTTTCTTTTTAATTTATACATGTAGATCTAATGCAAAAAAAAAAAAAAAAAATTGGAATCATGGTAACAATTGGTCTGTATATTTTTATTTAAGAAGCTCTACTACCATGCTGCGAAAACTTTAAGTTGAAATTTAGGGTAGATTTGATTTATTTTACTTTATGGACTTGGAAAAAAAATGATAACATACAATTTGTTTTCGAAATTAGAATATCAATACGAAATGTTAATTTAATCTTTTAATCCCAAGTCCAGAAACAGATTAAATTCCATTAAACTGCGTCCTCTTGTATCGACGTGCCGTTCGGATCTGAAACACGCGCTAAAATTCGTGTCCGTGTGTGTAATAAACCGAGACCCTTCCCCCAAGAGAGTCTCGGGTTAAACTCGATCGTGAACTTTCTATATTAGCCTCGAAGTTGCTCGATGCTCGTGATACATAGTACTAAGTACTTTTATACTAATTATTAAGGCCGCGATATAGAAGAAATAAATTTTGTACTAAAAATTGTAAGAGAGAAAGAGAGGGAGAGAAAGTGAGAGAGAAAGAGAGAGAGAGAGAGCGAGAGAGAGAGAGAGAGAGATAGATATTATCACAGGTGAGAAAAAATACGAGGATATTATAACTTTTTTGGTTTTATCTCGTATATTTAAGTCGGCGGTGTTTAGTCGATAAGCACTAATACGATTAAGATGATTAAGGACGTAATATAAGCTTTTCCTACTTGCACGTTACGAGACATTTTTGATACAATTTATTTCTTTTGTTGCACGATCTGATCGTTTTTTCTATTGTTTCTTTCTACTATACAATAATTAGTCCCTAGATTAATCTTAAACATATCGATATTAATACGTCAATTTTTTTTTTTTTATATATATATACATATATATATATATAAATCTTATACAAAATGTATTTCTCCGTGCTTTGCGAACATTTCCCATCCACGAATCGATATCTCCAAACATCATCATTTCGATCATCATCTTCCAATTAAATTCCATCTTCCAATTTATAATCAATCTCGAGTTTCGCGATTATCGATCTTTTTCCATCAACGCGCGACCTCGTTGCTTTCTTTAATCCACGAATACGATTTTTATCCCAATGACCTAAAAAAAAAATTCTCCTTCATCGCAGCGTGCCCCCCTGAAGAGAACCTTAAGAAACTTCACCGACACGATTAGATCGAAGAGATTGATGGATCTTCCTATCAAAATCTGCCTTCTCCACCGTTTCATCCCTCTCGAACCTCCAACGTTCATCCTTCGTGCTCGTCCTCGAGATTTACACGCGCCTACCACACACACTCACTCTGTATTATTTTCTCCCTGACTGCAATCCTGGGCCGCGTCCTGGCACACAGTACTACGTTCTTTTATACGATTCTAACAGGCACCGAATACGGACCTCCGAGACTAGGAAGCGTTCCTGCTGCCCCAGGAACCAACGACAACTACGGTGGCGGTGGGCCCCA